ATCGTGACTTCTTTGGCAATACCCACCCCTAGTTCTGATGGCATTTTAGCAAAAGGATTTTTATCAAAAACATAATTAATGTGGATAAATAAGGAATAGTTTTATTAACCATACATTTAAAGAGAGTTTTAAGGGCCCCCAGGAACTTGGGGGTTCTAGTATTACCTAATGGTAAATCCTCTTTAAGGCATCCTTTGCTCTCCAATTAATAATCAATTACTCCCCCAAAAATAATTAACATATTCCTAGCAAATAAATTATTAATTGCAGCCTTACATGACCTAATGGATTGTAAACCTTTTTTAGCCTCAAGTTTTTTGCCACCTCTAAGAGGATTAAAGAATATTTATTAGCATCTGTTCTCAAATCAGCTCCGAGCGGCTTCCTGTTTTAGACTATGGGTAAAGCAGAGACAGCTAAACCACATCCTGAGGAGGAACGACTAATCATCCATCTAGATTATCAATCATTGTAATCTGTAGGATAAAAAAAAAGCAGGCAAAGAATCACTTTGATTAAGGCGGATTTGTTACTCTATTAAAATTCAAGCATGAAATGTTGTGTTTGCATCATTTTTTATTAATATTAACTTATTTTTCTGGTTAACAGAGTCCATGAAAGTACAAAGATTGTGTTCTTGTAAGAAGCGAGGCTAATATATTTGGTAGCTGTAACTGATTAAATTACTTCAGGGGTCTTTAAGTCACATAATGTGAATCCTTATGGGTTGGGTTAGTGATTTACTGGCTGTTTCTGCTGACACACAGGATGGGGCTAATTGGATTAATGTGAGTAAAAGAGGCTTTTTAAGAAGGAGAGTGTGACTCTGCTCACCGAATCTTTCCCAACGGAGCCTCTGAGAAAGTAAACTCTGCAAGTTTGCATATTAAAGTCTAATTTGAACTGGATTAAATAAAGGATTATTGAATTGAATTGAATTTATGTCTAACTGAAGAAAATGTCAAAAACAAGCTTAGTTGATTTGGTCTAAATGAGCCAGGCGAGTCCCAAACCAGCAAGAAGGAAACAAAATAAACTCCAAAAACATACAAGTTTGGGTTTATTTCCATCATTCCTGCGGATTGTGAAAAATCGGCATTCCGAGAACCAAAAGACTCAGTTGCACGTAGTAGAGATGACAACAGAGAGCAGCTGCTTACTATGTTTTCTGCCTTTGACAAAGACTCCACTGTGTGAAAGTTCAAATCCCTCTGAGGATACAAATCAGAGCAAAGCAAGAGCCTTTTAGGGAGAACACAGCATGTTGTCTTTTTTTGGGTTTTTATCAGTAAAGAAACTACAGAAACCACCAGAAGAGGCTGATAAAAAGGAAACATCTACAACATAACACATCTATATTTACACATGGGTGGTTCTTTTGTTTTCCCTTTTTCTTTTTATAGGAGAAAATCAAAGGTTTGACAAGATCCTGACGTTTTTGAGGAGTTCAGCTGTCGTACATGGAAAAAAAAAAAAGAAGGGCTTCTTTGCTGTTATGTTCTCATGGGAACCTTCTCTCTCTTTATTTCCTCCTCTGACCAGGTTGAGCTGCATCTCAGGCCCGTCCACTCCATACGCCCGCACCAAAAGCCTTTAGTCTTTGTGCTGAACTCCCCCCAACCGGTGGTGTGGAATGTGAAGGCGGAGAACCTGGCCACGTTCAACCGACATACCTTTCATGTGAGTCCAGAGTCACTTAAAGCCTTTAAACCTCTCTTCCTTAAGCTTTTTGTTCATTTCCTTACAGTCTTCTTTCTGCCTACCGTATTACTACGGCTAAAACATTTCATGCATTGCACATCTACAGAGGAGGCTCCTCTGTGACGTGA